ACAGGAGGATTTTTGCAATTAAATGTATGAGAAGGAGTGCCTATGTACTGGGCAGACAAGAAGTTACTCCATTTTCAGATGAGATATTACAACAACATACGGAAACATACACAAGAAAATGTTTTTCTTTTTTTATTTTCCAGAAGAAATGTGATGTTATTAAGAAAGAAAAAAAGAGTGAAAGAGAGAGAGAGAGAAAGAAAGGAAGAGATCAATTTAAGAGTCTTCTAATCCCATTGCCATCAAGTGGACTCTGACTCATAGTGATCCTACAGGACAGAGTAGAGCTGTCCCATAGGGTTTCCAAGGCTGTCAATCTTTATGGAAGCAGACTGTCACAACTTTCTCCTGAGAAACAGCTGTTGGGTTTGAGCCATCCACCTTCCTGACCTTTCAGTTAGCAGCTGAGCACTTTAACCACTGTGCCACCAGAGCTCCTATAAAGTCTTCAGAGGTTTAATATGCCAAATCTTGCTGAAAGTAATTATGAGTCCACAGTTACTGTAAGGGCAGATATCTTCAGGGATAACATTACTCATAAAGCAAAACCCAAACCCACTGCCATCTTGTTGATTCCAATTCATAGTAACTCTTTTAGGACAGAACAGAACTACTCCATAGGGTTTCCAAGGCTGTAAATCTTTATGGAAGCAGACTGCCTCATCTTTCTCCTGCAGAGCAGCTTGTGAGTTTGAACCTACTGTCCTTTCGATTAGCAGCCTTTTAACCACTGTGCCACCAGAGCTCCTACATTACTCATAACCCACTGCCGTCGAGTCAATTCCAACTCATAACAACCCCCATTGGGTTTCCAAGGTGGTAAATCTTTACAGAAGTAGATTGCCCCATCTTCCTTCCATGGAGTGGTTGGTGGATTTGAACTGCCAACCTTCTGGTTAACAGTCAAATGCCTTATGAACTGCGCCACCAGAGCTCCTTTACATTACTCATAATCACCTTGAAAAAGTCACAGTCTGCCTCTAGAGACTGAGGAAACCATCACCACTGACAACCATCACCATGTCCTTTGGAACATGGACCATTTGGCCTTCTCAGTGACAGCTGGCTCTGCCTTCCTGGGAGTTAAATCTCCAAACAGAGATACCCCAGCTCTGATTTCCTGTTCCACAAGAATGAAGGAGATAGCCCATAGGAGGCTGCAGCCATTGCAAAGGGAATTACTCTTTTTATGTAAAGTGCTATTTCTACACACAGGAGCTCTGGTAGTGTAGTGCCCAAGGCACTTGACTGCTAACCAGAAGGCTGGTGATTCAAACCCACCAGCCACTCCTCAGAAGGAAGGTTGGGCTATGTAGTTCCGTAGTGATGTCACCTCAGAAACCCAGGGAGGGGTCGCTATGAGTTGGGTCTAACTCGATGGCAAATAACAACAACATTTCTACACACATTCTTCCTCCTCTGTCCAGAGATGATTCAAAGGGTGAGATACAGGAAGATTAGCTCATTGGCTGTTCTTGCCTGGCAGTAATATCCACAATACCTTCAGATGCCTCATTCATCTCTATAATATTCTGTCTCTATCCTTCAGGATCAGCCCTTCACCATTCTCCACCCACAAAACACAAAGGATGTACTTGCATATGGAGATTAGTCAGAAAGATATGATATAACAAAGCTTTAAGTTAGAGAAACATCTTTAGGGAAAAGTAGATTAGACTGAAAATGTCCCTGAGGCATCTTTCTCTGCAATGCAGTACAGCATAGTGGGAAAAAAGAAAGTCCTAGAGATAAGTGGCCCTGTCTTTGACTCTCTGAACCCTGCCTCACTTGCCAGAAGTGCCATAATGTCTCAAGGAGATCTTGGGATGTTCCGATTAGGAATTCATGGTAATTACTGAAAACAAAGTAACTTCACAAGAGGGAATAAAAGAAACGAGAAAAATGTAGGAAATGAGAAAAGAGGGTGAAAGGATTTGAGAGGAGACTAGCTGGGAAGCTTGCAGTTTAGAAATAAAAGTTTGCAGAGTGACGACACTGTGAAGAACAAAGGCATAGCACCAAACACAGGCCATTATGTACAAATGAAGAATTTCCAAACAGGTGTTGCTTTATATATTGGACCACAATGGGTACATTGCTGAATATGAGCTACAAATAGGTATCAAGCCATTGTATCTGGTATCAACCTTTGAGAAATGGATGGAAATGCTGAAGAAAATCCTTCTGTCCCCAATTGGTTGGTTGTTGGTATGTGCCGTCAAGTCGGACCTGACTCACAGTGATCCCTCCTTGGGTTTCCGAGGCAGTATCACTACGGAAGTAGATTGCCCAACCTTCCTTCCTAGGAGTGGCTAGTGGGTTTGAACCGCCAGCCTTCTGGTTAGCAATCAAATGCCTTAGGCACTATGCTACCAGAGCTCCCGATACTGATTTATAGGGATACTGATTATGAAATTCATCAAGTGTGATGAGGAATGTTGCATACAGTACCCAAACGAGGTCCACGTGGAATCTCTTCATACAGTTGGTAACACTATCCTCGCTTGCGAAGCATTAAGTCAAACGAAAGATCAATGTCATTTTTTTTATCTCTACCTTTTTCATTCTTTTTTGTGTGTGTGCTCCTTATTTTCCTAACTGATCAGACCAGAGGAGACAGAACTTCCTAAGGAGTATTTGATATGAAAAATAAAATGGTGGCAGTAGTCTCCTGTGCCTACAGGGAACAAATGGGACACTGGTTGAGGTGTGTGGAACAGAGTTGTTTAAGATCAATGTCTACAAAGGTGACCCCTGTAATTTGTGGCAGTTCTCTCTCCTCCACTTGCGTGACTTTCCTTCACCCATGAATATGTAACACTCTCCCATCTTCTCACACGAACCGTAGACCAAATGTCTCCCTTTGTTTTCACATCCTTCTCTTTCCAATTTCACTGTTATCATCCACGTTCGACAATAATTGATAACTGATCAAAATAGTAACAATGTCTCATTTTATCACAATAGTTCCATCACCACAGTTTCCTTATTGGTTTGCTTCCCGTCTTGATTCCATTGTGCTCTACTAGACCAATGTTGCTGGAACACCCAAATCATCAAGGACATCTAATAGCTTTCAGTAAAGATTCCCTAGTCTGACACTCAAGAAGCAGCTCTGGCGGTGCAGTGGTTAAAGCATCTGGCTGTTAACGAAAGGCCAGTAGTTCAAACCCATCAGCCTCTCCAGGAAAAAGATGTTAACAGTTTTGCTTCTGTTAAAGATTGACAGCCTTGGAAACCCTCTAAGGCAGTTCTACTCTGTCCTCTAGGGGCGCTGTCAGAATCAACTCAAGGGCAGGGGGTTTGGTTTGGCTTTTGACTTACAGCCTTGGAAACCCTATGGGACAGTTCTACTCTGCCCTTTAGGGGTGCTCTCAGTCAGAATCAACCTGATTCTGTGGGTTTTTGGGTAACATTCAAAATCTTCAAATCTGACCTATCAACCTTCCTAGCCTCATGTCCTATGACAGCCCTATGTAAACCATTTACTACAAACAAAGGAACTAAAAGCTTTCACTGCAGGTGTTCAATGCACTCCTTATCATTCCTGGGCAGGCATGTGACCTACTGAATTGAATATAATCACTAGTCAGAAAGAAACATGAAGTCTTGAGATATATCTACCTCTCACACACCTGGCCTTGAGGTATGAGTCTTGTGATTCTGCCCTGGGAGTAGACCACAGGAACACTGTCTCACATATTTCATAAACAAACCTGAAAGTAAAACCATGATTCATATTATGAATTGGCTTCCATTTCTAAAAGCAAAGACGTCCTTTCCAAGAAGACCGAAATTTCTATCTTCTGCTGAATCCTCCACATCTGTACCACTGCCTGGCCCCTAGCAGGCATGAAATAAACAGTTTTTAGGGTGAATAAACCACAGTGGACAAATAGAAAAAAAAAAGGTCAAATACAAATAGTTTTTAATATTTATTGTTAGAAATAGATCTTTAATGCATACTTTGTGTTTATATAAAGTGTACATTCTCTCAAAAGGCTTTTTGCTTTATTAGAAGGTTTTTTGTTTTTTTTTTTTTTGGCCTCCAAATGAACTTAACATATCTATGTATTTGATTCTGTTTAGACATTTTAGATTTTAAAACTAAATTCAAGAAACCATGCATATTATGTACCTTACTTAATAACCCAAGGAATTATTTGCACTTTCCAAAAAAGTCACCAAAAAGGCTGAACTGAAGTTAAATAACCTCTATGTACTAAAGCTTCCATTTTCCATTTCTGAATAAAGAAAAATACTCATTCAATATTACATATTGCTTGTCTAATAAGTCAGATTGTCAGAGACGCACCAGTAAATTATCTCTATTTTTAAATGACACCTTAATCTACGTCCTCCCAGAGATGTTCCTGCCAATATCAGCATTGTGCCAGATGCAGAAATAGCCAAAACAAGCTTAAATAAGAACCAAACTGGTCATTTTCAGATTGGAAATTTTAACCTAAAAATTCTCTTTCTATATATACACACATATGGTCTGCTGAACATTTCAAGTAATTTACATTAATTTAGCAAACATCCAGCCACTCTTCCACGAAAAGGTATTGTCTTTATCATAAAAAGTTAATGAAAGGCTTATTTGGACGTCCATGTGTGGACAGAGTACACGAAACGTTAAAGTCCCAGAAAAGCCTGCTGGACTCCTAAGAAAAAGAAGACTGATCTTCCACCCGCTGAAGTCTGCAGATAGAAAAGTGCTTAGCAGGACAAAATTACCAAAATAAAAACATTCTCAAGGTTATTTGGTTCTAGCAATATTAACTTCTCTGTACTTTTAGATAATTTAATGTTTGCCTTTGAAATTTATATAAATTTCCTTTTTTCACAAGTTACAAAAAGCACGCACACACAAAACAACAGTTCAAACTGTAATCTGTTATTTTGCATCCTGGTTCATTCGTCACGAGTCAGTCAACAAGAGAATGCTTGCACAGGCAGCACCTCTGAAACGCAGTATTTGAACAGGGGCCACCGCGTCATCCACTGTTGGCCGCGCCGGACCCTAGCACAGGCTGCCGGCAAATCGGACACGTGCAGTTCTCCGAGAGCCAGCGATCGATACAATGGATGTGGAATTCATGCATGCAAGGGAGCTGCCTGAGTTTGTTTCCAGTCACGTAGTCACTGATACACACACTACAGCCTTTACTTAGCTCACTGTCAGTACCATTATGCTCATAGTTCCGGGTGGAAAGATTGTCAATTTGCTCTTTGGTTAAACCCCGTATACGATCGTCACCATCCCCCTCACTGAGTAAAAAGAAGTGAGCAAGGCGAAGGATAGGTAGTGCTCCAGTTTCCACTACGCTGTCTGCACTCCTTGGCTGCCTGTCACCTCTACCGTCACCTCGCTGGGCATGAGGCTGGCTGGTGTCACTGTCACCATGCATTCCAGTGCTGTCTTCTTGGGCCTGCCAGTCGCTGTGCTGGCTGCTACCGGTGACTGTGCCTAAGCCCCTCAGGTCCGAGGGCATCTCTGGTAAATGCTCACCACTGCTCTCAATCTCAGACTCGGATTCAGCCTCCATTAGAGAACTCAGTTCTCCAAATCCAGTCATGATCTGCCTTAAAATTGACCGCAGAGCCACTGAGGAGGGCTCAGCAAGCTCATTCTCAGAAACTCTACGGAGAGGAACTGTTATGGTACTAACATAGGTTCGAATACCTGACCGCTCTAAACGGGAAATGGTTCGGCGAAAGCCCCCACCATTGTTTTCAAGAGTGACTGTATTTTCTGCTAGTCCTGCTCTGGATCGGGTTCTATTTGCAATACTGTCCCGATCTCTGTTTTCTCCCGGGCGCATCCTTCTGACTTGAAGGTCCAGGGTGATGGTTGGATGTCGTCGCACAGCAGAGGAGGACCTGGTAGGTTCTTCTCCTTCTTCCACGGTTATTCTTGACACAAGTCTTGAATTAGAGAATGGGGTGTATGGAGAACCTCTGGGGTCCCTATTACGCTCACGAGTTCCTCCTCTCCTCCTACCAGACCTTCTGGTGGTGTGCTGTGAAGGCCTGCTTTCCCTTTGTGAACTACGATGAGCAGTGTCACTCTGTCTCTGGATCGGTGAACGGCTTCTACTACTGAAGGAAGACCGTAATCTTATTGGCTCTAATCTTTGGTTTGTATTCCTCACTGTGACATTAGTTCTAGCCTCGTTTTCCCAAACATGTGCTGCTCCAAATCGCTGCCCCTCCCTTTGTCTGAGTTCATGAGCCCCTGGTTGGTCTGTGTGATCACTGAAATTGGCATGGGGAGTATGAGTCCTGGGAATGCCAACTGGTTCCCCAACCCCACTTCTTAATCCTCCCAACGTTGAGGAAGATACTTCTGCTGAATTCTGCCCCCTTGAACCAAGCCTAGACCTTGGCATGTTGGAATTATTACCACTGAGACTCACTGAAGTCTGGCTTCTTGTTCGCCTAGCCACAGGACTGCTTGATCTCTGATGTCTATTTCTATCAGGATCTCTACTAACATCTGAGAGTGGAATGCTGCCCGTAGCATCTTCTCCATAAATTTCAAATCCTCTATTCTCGTGATTTATGTGGATTTCCAGACTAAATCGAAACTCTCCACTGTTTGGGTTTGTACGACTCACAGCTCTCCAACTCTGGTTTCCATTCTGTCCACTTCGAGTTGCATTTCCGGTACGGCGAAAGGTGTTCAACCATTCTAACAGAGAATCTTCATTTGAGCTTTCTCGAGGCACTTCTGAGTCTGAAAAACAAAAACTTAAGATCAGTTCCTAAAAACTAAAAACCAAAGTGTGTATTACAGTAAATTATATTTAAGAACATCTGCAATTTTAATGAATGAAAACAACAAAAAAGTTAACTGAACTTTTTTAAAAGTATATACTACTATATTATAAAACTTAAATACTACTTCTGCATTACAAAAGATTCAACACTATTTATCTAAAGTTGTGGAGAAATGTCCACTCCTGCTTTTTATATGCCTGTGATTGGCAAAACGTCGTGGCAGGTGAGGAAAGCACCAAACACCAAAATCGTACATTTAAGTTACTTTATTTAAACTATCAGTAAACTGTCGTGGCAAAACTTTATTCATCCTACAACTGTAGAATCCTTCAGATAGAATCAAGTCAATCAGAATTTTTGCAAGTAAGTATTTTTGGAACCTGAAGAATTTTATCAGGAGCTCTGGTGGTGTAGTGCCTAAGGCATTTGACTGCTAACCATAAAGCTAGAATTTTATCATATTTTTCAGGAACCGCCAAAAACATAGACCTCAGGAACTATGGCTTTCTGAATATTATGTCAGAACCACATTACCGGCTTTATGTGAAGCTGGGGAGAGTTTAGGCAAGCATCCCAAGTTCTCTTTGCCTCCATGCTTATCCATAAATTGGAGATAATAACAGCATCAATCTCTTAGTGTTATCAGGAGGATACATTAAGATGCTGTGTATGAAATAATTAGCACATTACCAGGCAAATAGCAAGCACTCAGTAAATGTTAGTCGCTTTATACAATATCCCTGATGGTACAGTGGTTTAGTACTTGGCTGCTAAATGAAAGGTTGGTGGTTCAAACCCACCAGCTGCTCTGTGGGAAAAAGATGAAGCAGGCTGCTTTTGTAAAGATTACAGCCTTGGAAACCCTATGGGACAGTTCTACTCTGTCCTATAGGGTCACTATGAGTCAGAATTGATTCAACAGCAATGTGTAACAAAATATAATAAAAATATTTACTGTTCATTTAGAATGTAAAATTCACAAAGACAGAGTTTCTCTTATTTTATTCAGTGTTAAATCTCTTAGCATATAGACCAGTATGTGGCACAAATTAGACTCTCAGTTGCTATTTGATGAGTAAATAAATTTAGAAACATATGTAGATAAGCTTTTGTGACTATGATACTGTTTTTGTGCCAAACTGAGATTTTTCATTTTTAACAAACTGCAAAACTCAATAAAAACCATTCTTATCCACAGTAATTTTACAGACTTACACCTTAAAGTTTGTTCCACTCAAAAAATATCTATTAAATGCAACAGATCTGGTTTCATTACTGTAGTCGTTCTCTCAAAAAAGATTTAAAACAGTGAAGTTACTGTAAATCAGCTGCCGGTGCCAAAAAAAATAAAAATAAAAACAGCCACTTTAGCCGTGTTATGAAGAAAAGCCACCTGCGAGGAATGCATTTTCCAGTAAAGTATATACAAAAAGACCACTACCAACAATTGTACCAATATATAAAACTTACATATCTGAAAACAAAGTAGAAAATAGTCTCATACCCAATTTCCATTTTAATTTGAGGAAAAAAATATAGGTAAAAGGTAGGTAAACATTAATCATTTGAATGTTACTTTCCCTTTTGATTAGTTAGAATGTAATGCTGATGGTATATGTGAGTTTGCCGACCATTAAGCAATATCTGTTCTACCCGTCTCCACTGGGACAGCACCATCACTGAGCACGTGCCAGCCCGTTCCCGTCTTCACTGGGACAGTGCCGTCACCGAGCACGTGCCAGCCTGTTCCTGTCTCCACTGGGACAGCGCCATCACTGAACATGTGCCAGCCTGTTCCTGTCTCCACTGTGACAGCACCGTCACTGAGCACGCGCACAGTGTAGCAAGTCGGTGTGGCCATGTGAAGATGTTCTCACCACTGGAATATGAGTGGAAGTCATGCCTCTCACTCCCAGGCTGGTACCTTATGACTATCGGTGGCCTTCTCTGCCTACCAGCCAGTACCCAATGGAGCTGACTTTGCCCAACCACTCAAACAATACCGTACAGTAGCACTGAAATAAAACTTTTTCAACAGCCACATTGCTGATTAAGCTCTTGACACGCAGCCAGTATGACTGAAAAGGTAAATTTTAAATTTTATTCCATTCAGTTACATGTGGCTAGTAGCTACTGTATTGAATGGCACCATTACAGAGCAAGAAAACTAACTGAGGAGGTGGGTCTCAGAAGAATTATGGAGACAAGTTAGCCTGTCTTTCCTGGACTACTAACATGAGAAAGAAAGAAACCCTATCGTATTAAGTCATTGCATATTTGGCCTTATATAGCCTCTGTCCCAATGGATACAATGATCTTAATTTAACCCACCAGCCACTCCCCGGAAGGAAGGTTGGGCAATCTACTTCCATAGTGATACCGCCACAGAAACCCAAAGAGGGGTCGCTATGAGTTGGATCTGACTCGACGGCACATAACAACAATAACAACATTAGTAATCTCTGGGGAGACGCAAGGGGCTGGAGGGGGGGCAAGAAAGTTGGCTTTTATTTTAATTCCACATACTTCTGTTTAGTATGTTTTTTTAATAAGCCCTTTGTTTTTTTACAAGAACTTCTTATCCTATGGCTCAGTGCTTGTTCAAGAAAATGACCAAACAAACAAAAAGAACAATAAAACAAAGAAACAAAAAGAGGTGTCCTGACTCTGTCATTTTATATTCCTCTATACAGAAATTTTTAGTGGCTGGACTTAGGTCACTTTGGAGAAAGTAGTGTGTACATCCCAAGATGAAAAAGAACTACACTCCACTCCGACACACACGGGATCATGAGTCTGAACGGATTGGAAGGCAACTTATCGGTTACGCTGGTAATTAACTTAACTGTATACTATTTCAGCCACTCCTCGGAAGGAAGGTTGGGCAATCCTACTTCCGTAGTGATACTGCCTCGGAAACCCAAGGAGGGGTCGCTATGAGTCGGGGCCGACTCGACGGCAAACAACAACAACAACAATACTATTTCAAGCTCCCTGAAGGCAGTGTATGCACAGAGACAGCTTTCTTTTTATCTGTCCTTCAGTCCCTAAGGAATCTGTTTTTACAAATACCTACTACCCACTGCCATTGAGCTAATTCCACCTCATAGTGATGGACCAGAACTGCCCCACAGCGTCCCCAAGGCTGTCATCTTTACGGAAGCAGACTGCCTCATCTTTCTCCCTCAGAGCATCTGGTGAGTTTGAATCACTGACCCTCTGGTCAGCGGCCCAATACTTTAAGCACAGCACAGCCAGAGCTCCTTTGTTTTGCAAACATCACATGCATAAGTATTACCAGAAGTAGTATCGCATCAAAGCTGGAAAACAGCACAAACAAACATACTATACAAGAGCCCCTCATTTTTCTGCAATCGCACCAGCCACGCTCATTCCCTATGGAAAACAGTCCACAGTACCTCTGGGATTTGTCCCACTTTCCCTGTTTCTCAAGTCAGGCTGGGATGCTAGCTGTTCCTTGACTCCATCTAACCGCTGCTGTAGTTCTTCTGATGTTACTTCTCCTGAAACATGAAAATATCGCTCACTTTAAATTAAAAAAAAAAATTATAAATTACCAAGTTTTATGAGAACTTGTGAAGGGTAATAATCTTTACCAAGCTGTAGAAGAACATGTCTTAAGGTCTGTATTATATGTTCAGTACACTGAAGAGAGTGAAAAACAGTCGATGCAAATATACATTAATTTTTATTCCAGTATATTAAAATATTTAATGTAACTGATACAATGCTCTCAGTTGACATGGTTAAGAACCAGAGAGATAATTCTGTAGATTTTAGTGCAGAGTTCAAAAAGAAATTAAGAAGGGACTATACCTAGAGGAAACTTAAAACCCGTATGTGAATTTTACTCTAATATGTCTTATATGGGTCATCAATACACAATTTTATTTCAGTGAGTTCATGCCCTTGTAGCAAATTTATGGAGCACAATCAACTTTGGGGGAGTTATTAATTAAGCTGAATAAACAAACTCCCCAAAAACAGCCAGAATTGGATTTTAAATCATAATATCTCTTTTGTGCAAGTATTACGTGAGATAGAGCCATGTATATAATACTCAGCACTGTGACATACAGTAACCTGTTCATTAGTCTGGTATCTGTCTAACAGTGTTCCCTTCCCAATGTTCCCACATACTTATAAAACACAGCAGTCAGTCAGTGATTTTTTATTTCGTTAAGTTCAAAAAGTCCTCAAACTCATAAAAACAGTACGTCATATTTTAGGGGGAAAGGAGGAGGAAAAAAACATTTCTCTTAATTTAAAAATCCTTCCCTTCCTACTCTCTTTACCCATTTCTTACCTAAACCCAACACCATCGAGTTGATTCTGACTCATAAGGACCCTATAAGACAGAGCAGAACTGCCTCATAGGGTTTCCAAGGCTGTAAATCTTTATAGAGGCAAAGCCCAAACCAAACCCACTGCAGTGGAGTCAATTCCAACTCATACCTGCCCTCAAGAGTGGACTGGAACTGCCCCGTAGGATTTCCAAGGCTGTCAATTTTTATAGAAGCAAAGCCCAAACCCACAGCGCCCCTAGAGAACAGAGTGGAACTGCACCAGAGGGTTTCCAAGACTATAATCTTTACAGAAGCAAAGCCCAAACCACACCCACTGCCATGGAGTCGACTCTGACTCACAGCGCCCCTAGAGGACAGAGTGAAACTGCCCCACAGGGTTTCCAAGGCTGTCAATCTTTACAGAAGCAAAGCCCAAACCACACCCACTGCCGTGGAGTCCATTCTGACTCACAGCGCCCCTAGAGGACAGAGTGGAACTGCCCCACAGGGTTTCCAAGGCTCTCAATCTTTACAGAAGCAAAGCCCAAACCAAACCCACTGCCATGGAGTCGGTTCTAACTCACAGCGGCCCTCGAGAACAGAGTAGAATTGCACCAGAGAGTTTCCAAGGCTGTAAACTACTGCCTCATCTCTCTCCTGTGGAGTGGCTGGTGGGTTCGAACGAGCAACCTTTTGGTTAGCAGCCAAAGGCTTTAACCACTGCCCCACTAGAGCTCCTCATTTCTTACCAGGGGTGCCTAAAAGATTATGGTCTCTCATTAGCCGGTAATCTTCATCACTGAGTTCATTGATAAATTGATAATAGGCTTCTTCTCGGTGGAGACGCTCTTGCTGCCACCTTCTTTCATTTTCGTGGTGATTATGGTCTTCAGATGAGGCATCGTCACCACCACCACCACCATCTGTTCTAGATCTAGCCTGATCCATCCTGAGTTATCCTGGTTTTCTGTTCAAACAATACATAGAGGAGTCAAGGCGTTAGTCCTGGACTGCACATGGTTTTGTATTTTGACCTTATCATTTTTGTGTGGTTTTTGTCTTCTTGTCCCTACTCAAATACTTCATTTGCCAAACTTTGTAGATGTACACAAAAAGTAAAATAGTTTCCAGGAGACAAAATACAAATGGACCTACTTCTTTGTCTAAAGCCATAGTTTAAGTCAAACTGGATTTGGTTTCACCACACATTTCCCACATCTGAACCTCCAAGTGATTACTGTATTTTTCTGTATATAACAAATCCACAGAAATAACACACACATGCATATAACGTGCATAGTGCTCACAGGAAACTAACATGACCTCACCAGGTCTGCAAAAAATTGTATGATACGCACATTATTTGTGTAAAACATACGGTACTTCCTATTTTTTCTTATCTCTTAAAGATTCTGGTTAACGTAGTCTAAAAGCTCTCATAGATGTTTCAAATATCTGGATATTTCATGCTAATGTACACATTTCAGGCTTTAATTCTCCAAGTAATTTAAAATATTTAAGTAATTTAATTCTTATTTAATAAGCAAAGGGCTGTTGGGAGGGTATTAAAAAAGGAGAGAGAGACAGAGAAAAGAAAAACCAAACCCACTGCCATTGAGTCAATTTCAACTCAGTGACCTTGTAGGGCAGAGTGGAACTGTCCCACGACGTTTGCAAGGCTGTAAATTTTAAGGACGTAAACTGCCTCATCTTTCTCCCACAGAGCAGCTGGTGGGTTCAAGAAAAATGATTTAACCATTGCACCACCAGTGCTCCACTGGGAAAGTATAATTTATATTCATTTCCAAAACCGTATTTTTCTCAAAATAAAACTCATAAATGTAGTATTACCCCATTGCGCTTTAAGGTAAAAATAATTTATCCTATGGCTCTTTCCTTAACTCCTAACAGGAATCTGAACACTAACAGGAAAGAACACTCACTGCACGGCTCTGAGGGCTGACAGAGGGCACAGAGCGCTTCAGGTCTGGCCATCTCAAGCCTCATCCCCATGCAGGGCACGGCTCTGTCCCGTGGGTTCAGAGTACCAGGCAATCGTCCCTACTTCACCTAAGCAAGCACAATTTTTGGTTTACACTTAAATGGCATCCCATTTTTAACCTGTAAGGAAATCATGGGAAAAAAAATTTTTTTTTCATAAATATTTTAGAATTTTTCTGAAACATGATTAAGCCACTCAGGCAATGTTCTCAACTGGGAGTGTTGAGCAAAAGCACCTGGGGAAAGTTAAAAAAAAAAAAAAAAAGAAACTCGAAAAGAAAAAAAAAAAAAAGATGGTCAGATCTCACCCCTAATTCTAAATTAGAATTTTCCAGGGTAGGGCCAACAACACCTGTCTTTAAGAGCTCATTTGAAGTTGTTCTATGATGAAATAAAACTACTCCTTGACAATGTCCAGTGTGTCCCCAGAGGGTAGGAATTAATAAACGTCGGAGAATCATATGATTATGTTGCCAGTTGAAGCACCTGTTGTAATTTTAACTCTCAAAATATACCAGGTGTTTAATCAGCAAATGGCTTTAAATATAAGATTGGCTCACAATTCTAAACCACCATGTTGTTGTTGTTATGTGCCATTGAGTCTGGCCCCAACTCATAGCAACCCCTCCTAGGGTTTCCCAGGCAGTATCACTACGGAAGTAGGACTGCCCCATCTTCCTTCCGAGGAGTGGCTGGTGGGTTTGAACTGCCAGCCTTCTGGTTAGCAGTCAAGTGCCTTAGGCACTATGCCACCAGAGCTCCCTAAACCACCATAGAAGTAAGCAATTACCCAATTTCATGTGTACTCTAACATGAAATTATAAACTTAAGGACTTTTTTTTTCCACAGTGATCATTCTTTTTTAACGAAAGATCTAGTAGGACAATCCACTCAACTGTGAATTAAAGTTACTAAAAACTCAAAGTTTCTTTCCCCTTTCAGAATAACAGAATAATCAGGACTGGGCCATCATTAGCAAAGAGCCTACTTGGTAGGGACAGCATGAATATAATTTTTGTATGAAACAATTTAAAAAGCTGAAACCTATCATAAACCAAGTTACTCTTATTATCATTCAAAACTTAGGGGCACCTCTGAACAGGCAATTTTCTGGCACAATTAACCACCATTAAATCAAAATGAATACCTTATTTTCCTTTCAATATGCTTTTAATATATGCAATGGTCTCCATTCTTCAGTTGTGTGAGTTTTTTTTTTGAGAGCTGCCCACCTGAAGCAATAGAAGAGTGGAATTATTCAAATAAATCTGTCACTTGAAAGGCCAGGAACTGTAGATAGTTTCCCAGCTCTGCTGCAAACTCAAAGCAAATTCTCCCCTCGATTTTCTTAGACACTCACCTAGAAAAATTAGATCCCCATACAATTAGGTCACGAAATTCTCCCGCGAGGGCCTGTCCCACACTGTCACAGCTCCGGGGACTACGCTCCTCTCTCCCCGCGGCCTTCCCACCTATCCTCTTCCATTCTGCCGTTGCCAGGGTTAAGGGTGAATCCACTTTACTTCCGACCTTTTTACTTTCTTGCCACTCTGCCCGCCGTCCCGCTACTGGTGCCCTTCCTGTCCGTTGCGGCGGAAGCTCGCGCCGCGGGGACGGTCCCCACTACAATAAACAAACTGAGCCCAAGGGCCCAACCAACCTCTTCCAAACTGAGACTGAAGTAACGCTTCCCCTAGCGACCTAGATTCCTCCCGGGAAGCCAGTGACAGGCAGCGCATCCCAGCCAACCACTAGCTAGAAGAGCTGATAGGGAAAGAAATCAACCAATCAGAGAAGAGGTGGGCGGCTCCATGGATGGCCTGCTTTCGTTTGCGTCTTCAGGAAGTAGTGGGACCCTTAGTTTTCTTCCAAGCTCACCTCGCTGGGAACTAGGTGTCCTCTCCCTGTCTGGAGAAAAATAGGCGGTGGCTCTCCTCTTGGGTCCTAAAGCTGTGACAGGAAGGAAGGAGGGTCTTGCCACTGCTTCCGCGGAGAGCGATTTGACCACTAATCGTTTACTGAGAAGCCGGAAACCCGTGCTACAATTTGGAATCGTCCAGCTGAAGGGGAAGCTATGGAGGAGAAGGAGCAGGCTCGGGTGCCTCTTTCCTAAAGAGCCAGCTCATCTTTTACCGGCCGAGCCGCCGCCTGGGCCGAGGGAGACACTCGCCCGTCTGCGGAACGCTCCCTGGTGCTCTTGAAAACTGCGTCCGGAGGGGGAGCCAGGATGCCTGAGTTTCGCGTTCCGCCTAATCGACGCTTCTGTCTGTTACAGTGCGAAATAGCGAGCCGCTCAGCGCTGGTGGCAGCCACGTATGCCCACAGCACGGCCTGATTTCCATTCTGGGGGAGTACCAAAACCTTCTGTGCCCTTTTGTGTTACTTGTTTGCCAAGCTTGGCTACAGAGTACAACACAACAGTCTGTTCATCTCTCTTTACTGTCCGGGTATAATGTAGCCGGGTATAATGTTTCTTTACTCTTGTTGGGACCTGGATGTAACAAACCTTAATAAATCCTTAGGTGCTTGTATTGACTTTACCGCTAAGAAAGGAGACTGAAACTCCATCACGCCTCCGACTTTATTTCTAATATGTGACGTTTACCAGACTTGCCTCACCACTAGTTAAAAGCTTAAATAAGTCTCTGCTCAGCCTAGTATAGGCTTCTTTACAGACATCCCCCCATCCAGATGACTGAATCACTGGACAGTGCTCACACTGCTCATTTCGTTCATTTATGCATTCCTACGTTAACTATTGAGGAACTATTATATCCCCATCATTATTCTGGGATTCTGGGTAACAGATAAAACACATGCACTCCTAAGCATCAGTAAGCTACCAGTGTGGTAGGCGTTCGTCGTTGTTGTTGTTGTTGTTATGTGCCGTCGAGTTGGCCCTGACTCATAGCGACCCCTCCTTGGGTTTCCGAGGCAGTATCACTATGGAAGTAGGATTGCCCAACCTTCCTTCCTAGGAGTGGCTGGTGGGTTTGAACCGCCAGCCTTCTGGTGAGCAGTCAAGTGCCTTAGGCACTATGCTACCAGAGCTCCCCTTATATAACAAAGGTAAGTAAATATTGGCATGGGTTACAAGGCCCTTCTGGGAGGCTTGGTGGTGCAGTGGTTCAGTGCTCAGCTGCTAACCAAAAGGTCAGCAGTTGGAACCCACCAGCGGCTCTCCAGGAGACAGAGGTAGCAGTCTGCTTGCATAAGATAACAGCCTAGGAAATCCTATGGGGGGAGTTCTCTGTTCTACATGGTCACTATGAGTTGAAATGACTCAATAGCACATAACTACAACAAGGCATTTCAACATCACTCCTACATCCCTCTGTAGACTGATCTCCTCTTTGCACTCCAAAAGTACTCAAAGTTCCTCAACAATGATACAGGAACTCCTAAGTCACTCCAACCACTCTGACTAATTTCCTCTATCTCCTGAAACTTGGCTCAAATCTCACTTCAAGAAATTTCCCCTAATACCTCTGCAGGGACACCCATCCACCAACCACCCTACCCTCTAGCTCAATCTTCAACCATAAAACTAGGTTTGTTGTTGTTATGTGCTGTCGAGTCAGACCCGACTCATAGCGACCTCTCCTTGGGTTTCCAAGGCAGTATCACTCGAGAAGTAGATTGCCCCATCTTCCTTCTGAGGAGTGGCTGGTGGGTTTGAACTGCCAGCCTTCTGGTTAGCAGTCAAGTGCCTTAGGCACTACGCTACTAGAGCTTCCATAAAACCAGGCAGGTGTCCTTTTTTGGGGTTTCTATAGTGCCTCTAGGGAGCTCTGGTGGTGTAGTGCCTAAGGCATTTGACTGCTAACCAGAAGGCTGGTGGTTCAAACCTATCGGCCACTCCTTGGAAGGAAGATTGGGCAATCTACTTCTGTAGTGATATCACCTAGGAAACCCAAGGAGGGGTCATTATGAGTCAGATCCAAATC